AAGGGTCCCCTTTGTTACCTAGGTTCTCTGGGGATGTGTCCTGTATGCTGGTTGTCCTTTGCTTTGTGTCTAATATCCACTTATGAGTGAGTACATATTTGTATTTCTGCATCTGGGTTACTCACTCAGGATAGCTTTTTCTAGTTTTATCCATTTGCCTACAAATTTCAAGATTTCATTGTTTTTTCTACCACTGAGTAGTACTCCATCCATAATGTAAATGTATCACATTTTCCATACCTATTCTTTAGCTGAGTAGCATCTAGGTTGATTCCAGGTTTTGGCTATTGTGAATATTGTTTGTATGAACATAGTTGAGCAAATGTCTTTGTTGTGTGAGTGTGCATCCTTTTGGTATATTGGGTCTTGATGTAGATTGATTCCCAATTTTCTGAGAAACCACCATACTAATTTCCAAAGTGGCTGTACAAGTTTGCACTCCCACCAGCAATGGAGGAGTATTCCCCTTACTCTACATCCTCTTTAACATAAGCTGTCATCATAGTTTTTGATCTTGGCCATTCTGACAGGTGTAATATGTCATCTCATAGTTATTTTGATTTGCATTTCTCTGATGACTAAGGATGTTACGCATTTCCTTAAGTGACTTTCAGTCATTTGAGATTTCCTCTATTGAGAGTTCTCTTTTTAGATCTATACGCCATCTTTATTGGATTATTTGTAGTTTTGATGTCTAGTTTCTTGAGTTCTTTGTATATTTTGGGGATCAGTCCTCTGTTGGATATAGGATTTGAAAAGATCTTTTCCCATTCTGCATACAATTTCACATATATGTCCAGGTGTGTTTTCTGGGTAACTTTAAGTAAGTAGACAGAGAAGATGAAACATTATGGTAGGATTAACATTAGTCTTATTCCTTGGGACAAACTTAAAACAGAGCTACTGAGCTAACAGCTGCCTTTGTTCTCCCTTCTTTAGTCTTAGAATAACATTCCTGGAGTTCCCATGATGATATCATGTCTAGGGTGCCCCAGGGGCCCAAAAGCTGATCACTCAAGTTTGTAGTGTAGTCTATGATCCAAAGCCACTTTAAAATTGGTGATAATTTGGGGGTCTCACTAATCAGGACTCAGTCATGCCATCCTACCTGGGTGGGATAGGGGTATTTTCCCCTATTCTGTAGATTTTTAACTCTGAATTCTACCCATGTCCTGATGTCATTCTTTCATTTCTATTTTAACCTTTCTCCTTCAAAAAGATCACTTTTCTGAATAACATTATTTTTTAAAGATCCTTAAGTCTTATTCTGAGCTTTCCATTCAATGTCCAACTCCTTCTCTTATTTTGCCTGTTCTATGGGTTATTAATAATGCTTACTTTATGTGTAATACCATCTCTCCTCATAATGAATGTGTGTTACACAAAGACATTATTGCAGGGCCAGTAATCATTTTGAGGTTTTATATAGCCAGGAGAAGGCATGACAAGCCTGTGGGTTCCCCGAGGGCAGGATCTCTCATGAAGGATCTCTCAGTAGCACATGTACAGTGTCTTTTATATCTTGGTGCTTTTAAATTAAATAGGTTCACCACTCAGTCTTAGATCTTCCTTTCTCACTCTAAACCACAACTGATACCTGAAATTAAGCCCATACACCCACCACTCCCAGATTTCCTTAACCAAGCAGAAAGTCATTAAGGAAGAAAAGTTTTCTTTGACTTGTGAAATATTTTCTTTAGCTTTCCCTTAGAACTCTTTCCCTTAAATCAAAATTTAGTGTGGATTTTCCCTTCAACCTTCAGAATCTAACCTGTTCACCTACTCATGCCTCTGGTGATTTGCTGGGTATAGACAAAAGGGTAAGGAATGGAGGGAAAAGAGATGCATTATTGGTTCTGGATTATTCATTCTGGTGAGAGTGGTTGTCAGGTGAATGAGGGTTGAGTGATTTTTGAGACAACCAGGTCTGTTCTCCATTACCTTCCTTCTCTCCCCTCAAGAAGTTGATTCTAGAATGTTCCATCATTTGGCTCTAAGAGCAGGGGACTAAGCAACAAGAGACACCAGTGGGAGTTCAAAAGGCAGGAAGACAGAGTACAGATGTATCCATTCTGCTGCCTCTCTGCCCACACTTTGCACTTCTGTTCACGGCTGGATCTCTGTCACTCCCACAATTGCTCTCTCGGCCTATTACAACTCTCTTATCGCATGTGACCCTCTCCAAGGTTCCTAAGAGCAGTCTACTGTTAATCCCTGGCTGGTTTAACAATCTCCAGTGGCTCCCTGAAGTCACCTTACTAGTCCCCAAGCAGTCCTTTTACTAGAGTTCTTTATTGGAATTGAGTTAAATTCTGTTTCCAACCAGGATCCTGTCTGATAACATTTTTAAAAACCCACGAGTGTTACATTAAAGATTTCCAACATACATATTACTCCTTTTCTTTAGTCTCAGCTATTTCTGTCTAAGTGCAAAGCTCACCCAAACTAGTGATGCTCAAAGTGGGGCCCACAATCTCCAGGGGTTCACAATATCCTTCCAGGAGTTCTCAAAGGCCAAAGCTATTTTCATATCACTAAGGATTTACTTGTATACCTTGTATTTCCACTAGGTGATATCAGTAACAGTACATAAGTAATGGTAAATAATATTGTGCATTCAAGGTTGAAGACAGTGGCACCAACTGTGCTTCCATTGAATTCTGCCACACTTCAAAGTCTGACTAACAACTTCACTTAGGACTATTCTTAATATAGTTCTTGAAAATGGTCAATTTATAGTGTTGTTGTAGTCTCTAGAACTCTTATTGACAAAAATGAGAACCGGACTCTAAGCATTTCTGTTTTATACTGAAATATAAAGTTGTCAGTTCCTAGAAGAAGGCAGCTGCATAACTGAATTGTGAGCTGGCCACTTTCCCCACCCACCACTTCTACTCAAAAGATTAACGGACATGCTTACTGTTAACTGTTAAGACTGAGACATCTGGAAAGACATTTTTTCAAAAACAAATAAAATGAAGTTCCAAATAAGATAACTGATAACATTTGCTCCCGGTAATGATTTGAGCTTCCAAACATAGCACCGTCCCAGTGTTTAAAGACTCATCTGATGAGATCAGACATGATATTAACAAACCATGTGTTGATATATGGTAAAAGGTGTCAACACCCAACTAACTCAGTGACATACATCCAAAACCTTCCTGGAGCTGAAGAAATGGCTCATTGGTTAAGAGCACTTGCTATTCTGGCAGAGAACCTGGGTCCAGGTCCCAATACCCGCATGGTGACTACAACCATCTATAACTACAGTGAGAATATCTTGTCCTCCTGTGCACTGCACACACATGGTGCATAGACATTCATGCAGGCAAAACATCCATAAACATAAAATCTTTAAAAATAAAAAAAAAACTTTCTTCCTAACTGTGCAAGCTTTGGACAGGGATAAGAAGGTGTTTACTTGGTGTCTGAGCTCTATTGTCTGAGCTTTGAAGAGAGTTTATTTCTTCATCTGTGGCCTTGCCTGACTAGAAAATAGCTAAATGAATAATATACAAGTCAGTATTAATATATTCATAAATTAACATAGAAGCTTCAAAGGATGGACATGGTAAATGGTGTGCAAGTGTTTCCCACTATTATTGTCAGTGTCACTTTTCTTTATGAGACTTTAGAACAACAATAGCTCTGGCAATAGAAGTTGCCAGACTCACATTCCAGCATAATTTACAAGCTACTGACATTGGCCAAGTGATTCAATAATATGATCATGCATAGTAGCATATCTGCATATAGTCATGAATAACCATATGATTATTGTGAGGAATAAAGGAGATATTAGATGCTTATCCCAGGACCTGACACGTTAAATTAACTCATTTATATTAATAATTTGGTGTTTCACAAATCTTTCTTGAACTTTATAAAATCATATCATGGTACAGACAAGATGGCTTAAATGGTAAAAGAATTTGTCACCAAACCTGATGACCTGAGTTGGATTCCCAGGACCCATAGAATAGAACAAAATAAACAACTTTCACAAGTTATCCTCTACACATATACCATGGTGCTCACATGTGTGTGCATGTGCACGCACACATACACACACACACACACACACACACACACGCACATGCACACATAAATAAAATCATTTCACGCATGATGACATCATAACTTCCAGGACTCACAAATCTGTTAATACTTCTGAGCAGTGATATTGAAAAGTAATTCACTTAGGGGTAAAGGCTTATTTCTGTGGTGTGAATACTGTCACTGTGGTTGGTTTCAACTTATGACCATGAAGACACTGGACACAGACCTGATAAGAAATTCTCAGTATCAGACCACTCAGGCACCACCCTTCCCAGAAGCCTTCTGTGGAGGACTCATGCACTGTACCTCACTCAGGACTCTCTTCAAGAGGTGACAGTTTACCAGGGTGGAGGAACCAAGGACAGCTGAATATTAGTGTATTCAGAAACTCGTTTTAAATATACCTATAAAAACAAAACAAGTCTCTCTGTACTTTAACATCTGGAGAAGTTCCTGTGATACCCAACCACGAGAAACAAAAACTGACTTAAAAATACAATTCAAGCAGAAAATAAAAAGAACACATCTTCCACAATTCCATTTATTAAAGACAAACATTTCCTTACAGTATATCTGTCCAACTGTGAAATTCACTTAAAATTTCCGAAAAGAATAAAACTTTTTAAAAAAAAAAAATGCTGGGCAGTTAAAATACCCTGGTTCAAAGTTGTTGTTTTTTTCTTTTTCTTTCTTTCTTTCTTCCTTTTTTTTTTAAAATAGGCAACAGTATATGCTGAGAAGGAAGAAAGTGTTGTGAAGGGGAATCACCTGTGACAACCTGTCATGTTAGCATTGACACAATTCAACTTCTGCATCCCCACAGCCACAAAGGGAAAAAAATGACTCCTGAGAACCATCTCACTGATGAAGATTTCCCTTTCTATCTCATGTAAAAAATAATAAATTACATATAAATAAGGAGGAGAGAGGAGATGCTCTGAGATGTGCACAGTGTGCCTCCTCTCCCACACTCACTACACAAAACTCTCCTCCATGTTGCTACACAGCAAGAAGGAATCCACAAGCCGAGGCTGCACCAGCTGCTGGAAGTCAGAATCCTGGAGGCCTTCCGGGCAGACACCGGCCAACCGACGCAGAGCAGCCTGGGGAGACAGCAGAAAAGAAGGCACAGGTCACACTGGGCCTCGTGCACTTTGTGCTTCTTCCAGCTGCCCCGAGAGATGCACTCTGAGAGGCGCACTGCATTAACCAGGCAATTGGATCAATCTGATTACCTGATACTTGACCCACGATACTTTAGTGGCCATTTTGGTCACCATTGTGCCCTTATCTCCATGGTCACCTTGACTGCCCCCCCCTTCCACCCCATGTGACAGGCATTATCTGGAAGCTCTTAATGATTTTCATAATGGCCTTGCAGGACTTCCAGAAGCCTCCATGGACTCAAATTGTTGTTTTCAGATGTTCTGAGTAGTTTACAGAAACCAGGATTATTCACTCACCCACAAATGCACCCAGTCCCTCACAGAGCACCGTGAGGTGGGAGGGAAGAAGAAGGGAATGGGAAACATGGAGTCGAGGTAGCTAAGGAGGCTGTGGCTGAGAAATCCAAATCAAGGAAGGGAGATCAGGAGTTGGGAGGGGGCAGAAAAATGGACCAGCTCCTATCCCCACTCCCACCCTCACCCCTACCCACTCACCCCACTGAGCACTGGGCTCGTTTCTGCTCTTGGGCAGGCGCCTTGCTTGTATACTTCACTATGACATGTCCCTCCTGCTCTCCTAGTTAGCAGGTGCTCTCACCACCCTCCCCAGCAAAGCCATCCTTGGCTACCCTAACAAGGGAACAATGTGTGCCACTCTCCCTCTGTGCACAGCCACAGCTCCTGCACCCTCCCCAAGCCTTGTTCTCAGAGTCTCCTTTCTTTCTGGGGAGTTAGTCAGTCATCTGTGGAGCTCGTTCACAGACACCTAAGTATTAAATGAAGACAGTTGCCAACTGCCAGCTGCCTTGCCATGGAAAAATCAACCCTGTTTGCCAGAGGTGATCCATGCTGCCATCACCTCCACACAGGACACAATAATTGAATTACCCTCCTCTCACCTGAGGACAGTCTTCAGGTGAGGAAGAAGGCCCTGAGAACAGAAAAGAGATTCCCAACTCCATCAGCCTGGCTAGGCTCCATGCATCTATCATCTTGCTGACCAGAGGCCTGTACCTCAATGTTGGAGCCTTTAATAAGCCAAGGAGTGAGCATTCACCAGCTTCGGTGGCTGAGGGATGGGAACAACTCAACTAATTGTAAAGTCATCAAGATGTGATATCCAAATTCAAGGTCATATAAAAATACAAAGGTCTATACAAAGACTTTTGCCCTCAGAACATTCTAAAATCAGGGGAGAGATACAAATTTTCCTCAAGTTAAAACAGTGACCTGTGCCAAAAGAGAGTAGAAAAAAGAGCATGGTTAGAAACAAGAGGGTCTACTCAAAAGACCCAGGCTTCCAGAGAATTTAACGTCTAGAACATGTGTTATAGGGATTATATAAAAAGACAAGCAGGGAACAGAGGTAATGTAGTGTGTACTCCCTGACTTTGTATCACAGAGAGATCCTGGAAAACATCATCTGATGGGTATTTGGATTTGAGCCTCCAGGGATGAACAGAGTTGTAGAGATGATGTTTGTTTGTGATGTGGGAAAAGAGGATACTTTCAGGCAGAGCTTGATGAGATCTGGAAAAGGTAGGAGGTCTTCAGGTCCTAGTGTCAGGTCAGGCCCTTCTTAGAGTGGGTCTGAGTAGACAGTAGGTGGGGTAAACAATGGAGAACCGTGGACAATTCCACGAAAGTTTGATGAAAGCATCCTGAGTCCAACAGTAGTAGATGTGGCAGGGTGAATTAGAAAGGGGCTCTCCTCAGCATCCAAGAACAAATGTAGTCCCTTTCCTCTGGAAAGTTCTCTACCTGATTAGAAATGGCAGCCAAAACTCTCTATGTGCTCTGGAGAAAAAAAGCCAGTAGTAACAGCACAATCCCCCACAACCAAGGCAGCTTATAGTTTCCCAAATGCTCCCTACACCCTTGACTTTACCTGTCAAGCCCTTCAGTCAGGCAGTCGCTGCTGCCAGAACGATGAGAATAAGGGAGTTGGGGCCAATCATTATGTGTTTGGCAGCTATGAATTTCTTCCCATTTTGCTTGATAGAAAAATAGACTCAAGAAGGTCTGTAGACTTGGAAGAGAAAAGGGGTTTATCTCTTTTTTCCCTTCCTTCTCACTGAAAGAGCATCTCCGGTTGTCAATGTTGCTGATCTCTGGCCCTGCTCTATAAAAGAAATCACAGATATCTGCAGACCCCATTAGAGATGTGAAAGCTTTGCAGTATTTACTACCATGAGCAAGCATGGTTTTAATAGGCTATGTGCATAAATATTGAATAGTGGTTTTAACATAATTGGTGCCCTTTTAAAACTGCACATTAATTTTTTGATGCATTTAAAAATTATTGAGAAAATGGGAGGGTAACGTTTTAGGAATAAGGAATCCAGAGTGCATGGGGATGAAGAAGGGGTTAATAGGGGTGAATATGCTTGAAATACATTATATACATGTATAAAATTGTTAAGAAAAGAGTCCTGGCAGAGGTTAAAAATCTTCTCCAGACTTCTAAAGGCAATGTGCAGTACGAGTTGCAGGAGAGTTCTCTCCTGACTCCACAACTATAGCCCCGAAGCCTAGGAGAGAAAGTGGCACATTAAACCATTCATCACATATTTACTAAATAAGAGAGCACTTTGACCTATTCAGTGACACACAGCTCACCAAAGCAGAGGCAGGGACAGGCCTGCTGACGGCAATGCCAGCTGCCTCTACAACTTCAGGGTGTCCATCAAGAACTCCCAGACATGAGCTGAGCTCAGTGAAGAGTGAGACATTCACTACTTTTCCCTGTGTTCTTTGAGGACCAAAGATCTGGCTCGCTCTTCTGCAACCCAACTACTTCCTAGTGACGCCACACTTCTAGCTGTTCTGCCACCCTGCTCTGGGGTCCATCACACCCCCAAAGGAAGATAAGTGAGAACAAAGCTTGCTTTGCCCATCTGCTACTGGTGATTAGTTCCCTAGTACCAGGAAGTAAGAAGTTCCCAGGATGAGCTTGTTGGGGTTGGAGGAGATCTTAGTGGCTGATTGAGTAATCCTCACTGCCCTGTCATGCCTGCTATAGTCATTTCCACAGCAGATGGTGCAGCTACTTGTGGGGAAGGGCCCTGCAGGAGTAAAAGGGGACTTTCCCATGAGTTCACTTAGGACACACAGCTGTCTATTTCCTGGCCCCTGTGTTCTGAAGGTTCCATGACATCAACACCACCACCTAGCAGCCCTCAGCTCACCACACCCGTGTTAACATGCTGCTGTGAGTCCCTAGAACCTAAAAGCTCACTCGAGTTGTGGGGATTGGATGGGAAACAGCTTCTTCCTTCTCATCTTTTACTCGATTTTAATTACAACTTAATCAATTAATAGAACTAGAAAGCATCAGCATCACCATTTTAATATAAAACCTAAAGCCTGGAGAGGTGTGAAGGCATATCCAGCTGTGGCAGAACCAGCTGCCCTAACCTCAGTCTACCTTCCTGAAAGCCTTGTGGGACGCTGAGGGCAGGCTGAGAACTCACCAGGCAGGCCACAAGCACAGCATCACTGTTGTTCCTCTCAGATGGGGATCTGCAGAGCTCAATAAGGCGAGACATACCTGCACAAGACAGAAGGAAAGAGTCACAGCTGGCTTACGAAGCCTGGCCAGGCTGAGCCCAAGGTGCTGCCCAGCTTCACCCACAGTACATGTTCAGCACCGGTCTGTGGAGAGGAGGCTGAGCCCACCTGGAGGAATATTCCCAGGAGACTTTCTACTTTCTGCTCAAGTCCAAGAAAAGTCGGGTCCAAGCCAAACCCACAAGCGCCAGGGCACCAGCCTGGGCTCATCTTTGCTAAGTGTTACAAACATGTTGCCCGTTTCTCAGCAAGGACTTGTGAGTATATATATCCAGTTTTACCAGTACAGTGTTTAACATTCACACCTGTACCCTGGGGCCTCACAACTGTGTATTCCTCTAACTGGCTATGTCACTCAGAAAATATACTTTAGCTACAAGCATAGAAAACTATAGACCCCCATTAACATTTCCTAGGGATTTAGTGTGAAAATGTTTCCACAAGACACAAAGATGATACACAGCTTTGCTAAAAACATGCTTCAACCCACCCAGATAAGCAGGGCCTGTCCTGTCCACCATATATACTTGGAACATCACTGTCACTATTCTCACACACAGACCATTCTATCTGTCACCACCCTGTGCTTGGGATTGGTATTGCATTCCTCTAAAAAAGTGGCTCTTAACCTTCCTAATGCTGTGGCCCTTTAATACAGTTCCTCATGTTGTGGTGACCCCAACCATAAAATTATTTTCATTGTTACTTTATAACTGTAATTTTACTACTATTATGAATCATAATGAAAATATCTGTGTTTTCAGGTGGTCTTGGGCAAATCCTATGAGATCATTTGATTCCCTAAAGGGGTAGAGACCCACATGTTGAGCACCACTGCTTTAGAGCTTAGCAAAGATGGAGGTTCTGGAAATATTTAGGCAAATAGGAAGCTAACAATGACAGAGAGCAATAATGGATATTCTGATGGTAGGTAAGTGAACTAGTGAATAGATAACTGAATCAATGAATTACTGAGTGAAAAAACAAATGAATGAGTGGAGAATGAGTGAAAACTACATGGATAAATGAGTAAATGGATGTGAAGGAAATAATCAGGTTCTGAATGACAAGTCAATGCATGTGAGTCAATGTCCTGGCCGGCTTTAGACTAGGGGCTATGCCCACAGTTTCTACCCCAGCATTTCCCAGCACTCAAAGAGTGGAGTTCACCCCAGTTCATCCCAATGTGCTGCCCACTGACACCACCATGAACACACAGCTACTTCCATCCCAAGCTCCCCATTCCAGTCCAGCCACAGCCAGTGTCACTTACAGCTGAGCCGCACTGCCTCCTGGGCCACATGTGGGTCTCGGCAGAGGCGGGCCAGGGTCACCGCAGCTTTCTGCTGTACCCTTTCACAGGCTGCCACCTCAGCGGGGCTCCCAGACCTTGGCTTCTCAGACAGCATGCCCATGATGAGCTGGACACCTGGGCAGGAAGCAACACAGTTTGGACAGTTTAGACTCACCCCTAGTGTAGGGCTTTTCCAGTGGGACTAGCTGGACAGACAGAAGCAGGGGCTCAAGCAAAGATTTGGGGTAGGGGAGCCTCAGACAGAGGTGGAAGCCAGGTATGGTCACCTCTTTCTTCTCATTCTAGGCACCAAGTCACTAGACTAGAAAAAAAAAAAAAAAAAAAAAAACATCTAGAAGACACCCTCACTTTTAAAACACCATTATTGGTTTTATATGTCTCCCACAGTGTTATATGCACAGTAAATGTGCAGTCCCCTCAAACCTCACAATGGCCTCATGGCCATGGCAGTTCTACTTTGAGGTCTAGAGTGGCATAAGTCTCTTGCCCAGAGCACACAGTGCATAGGGGTGCTGGGTGGAACCTGGATGTCTGGTCACATTACCTTATCACCTCTGATGGGGCTGCATCTAAGACAGGTTACAGGTGCTGAGTCCCATGGCAGAACTTTAGGCTGAAGAACCACTAGAGCCAATGCATTCACAGTGGGAGTGCCAGAGTGAGGCTGCATCTAGTTCCCTCAGGAGCATCTTACCTCCCCCCGAAACCAGATTTGTCTCCTGATTGTTGTGTAAAGAATACCCACATCCATGCCACTATCCTGCCTTTGCCCTCCCTTTCTGAGGGGAAATGCCCTTTCCCTCGTATTCTCTTGATGGGAGATGCATATATATATATATATATATATATATATATATATATATATGTTTCTCATACTGGTTAATGAATAAAGCACTGTTGGCCAATAGGAAAGCAAGATAGGTGGGTCTGGGAGACAAGGAGGAAATAGGAAGTAGTAAGGAGGAGCCAAGATGGAGAGACTGGGGAGACCAGACACCTGCCCCACTCCCTGGTAAGAAAAGACCACGTGAAAATACATAGATCAGCAGAAATGGGTTAATACTTAAGACAGAGCTAGCCGATAAGAAACTAGTAATGGGCCAACAGAATTATATCAAATACAGAGTCTCAGTGTGTTAATTGGAGCAGGCGCAGCGGCAGGACAAGACTGGCGGTGGGCAGAAAAACCATACTCCTTACATCTCCCATGGTACAGATTTGCAGCAGGGGCCCACCTTCTGTATGAGTGGCCCCCACCCCTCACTCCCACCCCCCCTAGTCCCAACCAGCCGGCTTGGAACTTAAATTAGACATGATCTAAAGATATGCTTTACTTTATTTTGTTGCTTCAAGACTTAAGCTGTATGATGATTTTCATAAAAATCTAGGTTTCTAACATTTATCTTCTGAATTGGAATTGGTGTGCCCACATACATTTCTATATGGCCAGAAGCTTATTGTTCTACTGTTGTATTAAGATGAGCATGTGCTGTGTATCTCCGGCTGGCCTGGAACTGACTATGTAGATGAGAGGCTAGCCTGGAACTCAAAACCCTCCCACTGCAGCCTCCTGAATCAGAGATTACAGGCATGTGCCTCTACACATGAATTTACTATTATTAAGAGATCGATCGGGCCAATCCTTGTCCATCTTATCTATTTTACTGTGTGTGGATCCTGCAGGCATCTACATTTACAACCTGTGATCTAGTAATGGGCTCTCGGAGCCCAGATTATTGAACAGGGCTTTCCCTTATTGAGACCCAGGAGTCTCCTGGGTTCTAGTGGTGTCTGGGTATGTCGCTGCCATTTGGATCTCTCAAATCCTGTCCCACTCTTACAAATCCTGTCTTTCTCAAATTCTCTCTGTGAAATCCCATGAGACAGCCACTGAAAAAGGAGCCAGGCTTGGTACAGGGCACACCTTGGGTCACACACTACCCTTGACACTGTTCACGGTGATTCTCACACTCCTGAGAGCGAGCACTGCTGTTCCCACTCTCCAGAGGGGCAAGAGAGAGGCCATCTACTTCCCCACTGCCCAGCTCGGGGCCAGGCCCATGGTAGGTTTTCACCACTATGGACTCAGTGAGTTAGTCAACAGCACTTTGTAAGTCACAAAGCACTCTCCAGATGGCAGCTATCCCAGCCTCAAAGGCACAGGCAAGTGGCAGCCTGCTGTCATCGGCCACTTCAGCCAAGACTCCAAGTGCTGAAGGAGGAGAGTACAAGTGATACCACGCAGCCTCTCCTCTTGGCCTCAGCTGGCTCAGCACAGTTTCTCATTATTAGCTCAATCACATGAAATTAACACAGAATGGTGTGTTTCAATTAGCCATGGGGAACGGGGAAGTGCATGTTTGTTAAGACAGCAGGGCAGCCTGGGGGAAGGGACTTTCAGAGAGCAGAGGCACCCAGGCTCCAAGCTCACTCTCATTAGTGTCTCAGGTCTCCAACTGCTTGCTAATTGCTCCCTTATTCCTCAGTCACAGGCAGCCCTAGCCACCCTAGCTCTGTTCGCAGCTGCAAGGCGGCCACCTTGTCTATTGACAGACTTCTTCCATCAGCCTTCAGACTGAGGAGCCCAGCTCCAACTCTCCTTGACCATGAACATAGAAGGTAGAACAGAGGGCCAGTTGGAAGGGAGATTCCCTCGGAGAGTGGTGTGGGCAACCCAGCTTCCCTCTTCTTTTCCTCTCCCTCAGCTTTCCATGGAGGCCAAATGCAATACAGTGGATAAAAAGCAACATCTCCCCACTTTGGGACAACCTTGCCTCCCTCATGCCACTATCATGACCTCGCACTATCTTCTTGATTCCTATATTCCACTAGAAGTTAAGCCTATGAAGGCAAATAAGCATTTCACTTTTGACCAGGTTATACACAGAACTGTGTGTGTGTGCTTGTGGGTGCACATGCCTGTATTTTATGCATGCATGTTCATACATACACAGAAATGAAACATATATGTATTTATATATCTGCACATAGGATTTATACAAGAACAAAGCCATGGGGCATCATATGCCCTGATAATCCACAGGGTATGACCAGACATACCATTCTCCTGAATGATGTCAGAGGTACACTGCTCCAGCACAGACATGTTTGCCAAGATGCTCACAATCTGGAAAAATGGAATTGAGAAGCTATAAAATAGACATCCACAATTCCCATGGTACTCTCTGACGCAGGTCAGCTGGGGGCTGCGGAGCTTCCCTCCAGCTTTCCTCCTTACCTCTGCCCATCCTCCTTTGGTATTGTCTCCTCTTCTCATGGGCTACTACCACCCAGATGAAAGTCCCAATGACTGATGCCCATTAATCAGTGGGTGGCTCTGGGATGGTTGTCTGGGGCCCCCCCATAGACAACCACCTCACACTGAATGAAGTTGAGGCTGGCTGTTTAGGTGCAGGAACCCTTTCAGCCTAACCCCTAAAATTCAGACAAATTTGGCAGGTTCTAAGCCCCTTTACTCCTTCTGTTCTGCTTTGATCTCCTGACTCTTTGATCCACCTTTGATTGCGGTCACCTATATCAATCTTCTTTCCTGATACTGACCTTCATGAACAAAGGCAGACAGCATGCACAAAAAGTAGATTCAGATGAGAAAGGTTAACTTAGCCACACTTTACAAGTCTATGGTCTACACGCCTCAATTACAGATCACCACTGAAGGACTTTGTCATCAATGACAGGACACACACACACACACACACACACACACACACACACACACACACACACAAAATGAATTAAGGAAGATCTAACAAGAGGTTAGATCTATAACTATAACTGGTGTAAAAATAATAAACAAGCTGAGGATGGAAGTGTGGGCACTATGAACAGAAATGGCCTATCATACTGTTCCTAAAAGAAACCACATAGTGAAAATGTGCCTGCCTCTACAGAAGCAGAGAGTATGTACAAGTGGCAACTGAAATAAGTAGTGAACTAAAAAAGAGCTCCTCCCATGTGTGAGTCCACTCTCCACACAGCTTCTTTCCAGCTGGTGGAACCATCTAAGCAGGAGCTGTGCTTCTGCCTCTGGGATGGCAAGCAGTAGTGTACAGAGAACATTACAGGAGGCTTCAGTCCTCAGCATGGATGGTACAGCAGAGTTTGCCAAGAACGAGCATTCGATGGATTTTAACTGGCTTAATGTTAGCATATCATTCTCCATAATGCATTTAAAAGCTCTCTTAAACAGAAAGGAAAAATTGTCATCATTATAGTAGAGTATTTATATTCCCCCCCAATACATGCTGACTATGGAGGCAGTATTTCTATGTATCAGGATCTCCCAACTCAGACCTGGTCAGGGAGTGGATGGGTAAATAGTGATTGGAATGAGATGCTGGGAGAAGAAAGGGAAACACATTTTAAAAGCCTTATTCTGAAGTCAACTGCAATGCCCAGGGTTTCACGAGAGGAATGGTAAGTATATATTGAAAGTTCTTTTTCACTAGTTTCAGAATAAGGAGTATTTGTGGGCTCAGTGGGAGAAGTTAGGAGAGAAAAGGTAGGTTATAGATGCAGCCTTGAAATATAGGTTCCCCAAGAGCCATAAAGTATCATAGGAGAGATATGAGGGGTCAACTCTGCCAGATTACACTGCATCCGGCTGTCTCTGGGCTGTTAGTAACAGCAGGAACACAGCCTGTTCCCACCACACAGAGCTACCATGTCACCAGACAGGCATTTCTGAGTACAGACTCTTGTTTGACCTGCACATTTATGAAAATAAAGGAAGAGTGGGAACAAGGAAGGGAGGAAGTAAAATAAAACCTTTGTCTGCAGCAACGGGTTCATTATATGGCAATCATTAGCTGAGTCACAGGCACCAGGTAGGTCTTTGTGTTGGACTAATTTAGATCCTGTTAATGAAAATTACTTCCTCCTTACAGAGCCTGTACCCCATGTGGTTTTCTGAGGTGCAGATGAAGTAATCAATTAAGCACAATTTGAATAAATGCCAATTATACCCTGCTTGGAGTCTCCCTTTTGAAACACACTTGTGTGTACCATGATAGAGAGGGGAAAGAAGCCAATGTTTTCACCTAGCAGTTAGGCCCACAACTACAGTTTTTAAGGACAGCTGCTTTTACCTAAGTGGAAGCAAGCTAGCAATGCTGTCAGGTTAAGGAATGCAGGAGCCAAGTCCACAGTTCCTCCTAGCCCAGGCTTATTCAACTGGTCTAAAATTAAGGCCTGTTTTTCATGATCCTTCTACAGTTACCTGCTGAGTACAGAGGACTTGGCCTCAAGAAATACCCTGGCTCCATCTCTGATTATCCACATGACTCTAGCAATGATACCCAACCTTCTGTGCCTTGGTTAATGAAAGGGTATATGTTTCCTATTGTTGCTATAACAGATTACTACAAACTCAGTAACTTGAAACAATTGTATTATTTTGCCATGTTGGAGGTCTAACGTTCTAAACAGGTTATTTTTTATTGAGGTGTGTGTGTGGGGGTGTGGGGGTGTGGGTGCGCGCACGCACGCGCGTGCGTGCACTGGAGAGATAGTTTGCTGCCAGAGTTTGGACTCCAGCATCCAAGTTGAGAAAGCCCCAAGTTAAGAAGAGACCCTGCAAGCGCACGCAGGTACACACATCTGCATACACATATTCCCCCTTAACATATTTAAGTAAATAAATAAATTAACAAATAAGTAATTATTTTTAAAAGGCTGTGTACTTTATATACGGTTCAATTTTAGGGACTGCATCTTTATCCTAACTTTTCTAACTCTTCCCACTCATTATCCTAAAATGAGAGAAAAGAATTCTAATAATGAAGCCGTAACCATTTTCTCTGACTCTGGTCTCCCCCACACCTTCACATAAAAGCATGTGTCATTACATTGGACCCATCTGGATAAAATTCATAGGTTAAGAGTCTTAATGAATCACTCTGTGAAAAATCCCCTTTATTATGTACAATAAGTTATTCATCAATTTGGAGGAATAGGATGGAGGCCTCTATGGAGCATCACTTGGTATAAGCATCACAGGAGATAAAAAAAACATTGTAAGCATTCACTGTGTCTTATCAATCACCAAGAACACTTGTTAAATTAAACAAACACAGCTAAACTGTGGTGGTGCACACCTTTAATCCCAGCACTAGGGAGGCAGAGGTAGGTGAACCTCTGAGTTCTAAGTCAGCCTGGTCTACAGAGTGAGCTCCAGGATAGCCAGGGCTGTTATACAGAGAAAAATCTGTCTTGAAAAACAAACAAACACCTGTTCCAAGTCCTCCACCTTGTCAAAGGGACCATGGAGCTCCCTCCAGCCCATGATGAGCTGGGCCTTCTTCTGGCCTATGCACTGCAGGCTGCACAGATCCCGAGCTGAGCCTTCATTCAGCAAATCCAATAATTTTTTGCGCCCATGTGCCAGTAACTCTGGGCTAATCTGTAGCTCCCAGCAGTCCTCAGCTTTTTCCACAGGCTCGGACACATGTGATGGCTCCAACTTTCTTTTGTGGCCTCTCTTCAGGATATGGATCTTTGACTCTGTCTGCTTCTGAATCAGTTGCAGCTTTTCCTAGCTAGAAAACAGCCAATACCTTCAGTGCCATTCTGAAATCATCTTTCATTTGGCATACAAAGGCCATAGGGAAATTGAAGTAGATGGCAAATTAACCCAGAACAGCAGGGGATCTCCCATGTCACTAGTTCAAAAATAAATGTTTCTATTTGGTATGAAATGGGTCGGCTAAGACTTCTGATAGTAGCACACATAGGTAAAATGATCCTCGTGGGCTCCCCTAGAGCAGGTGGTCCATAAATACTTGTTCACAGGCAGACATGAAGACATGGCCCAGGATGTGTCACCTCCCTAGCACTCTCCACAGTCACTCTGACCACACCCTCACTCCACCAGCATACCTCCTCACCTGCTGTACTGTGGGATGGCCCTGAAGATTACAGTGCATGGAAGACAAGTTAATTATACACAGAACACCCAACAGAGACAGGTGGTCTGGCCTGACAGGCCTTATGACCCAGAACACCTGGTGTACATCTAGTGGTGAGTAATGGGTACTTCTATATTGCACAATGATTCAGATAAAAAAGCCAATGTTCACAAATTCACAAAATTACTCTTTAATCAGAAGCTAGCCAACAATGTCAAACATGGCTCTGGAATCCTCTCTTCCTCCTCTTCCTCCTCCTCCTCTCTCTTCTTCCTTCTCCTCTTCCCCCTCTCTCTTCTCCTCTCCCTCCTCCTCTCCCTGCTCCTTTCCCCTTCTTCTCTCTCTCATCTCTCTTTATCTTTTTCTCTCATAAAGTGTGTACTCATGCATGTATGCATACATGTAGAAGCCAGAGATCAATTATTCTCCACCTGTGTATACTGAGTGGCCTTCCCTAAACCTAGGGCTCACAACTCATCTAGAATGAGTAGCCAGCAAGCTCCATGAGTTCACTTGTCTCCTTCTTCCAGCACCAAAACTACAGGTGTATGCTTGTTTGCTCAGGTTTCATATGGGCTGTACAGATTTCAGTAAGGTTATCATACTTGAGCAACAAGGATTTTACCAACTGAACAATCTCCCCAGATCTAGCTTATAGTACTTTTCAACTTACACACACACACACACACACACACACACACACACACACACACACACCTTGCATGTGTCCATACACAACCTGAAGCCATACATGCCACCCATTACTTAATATCATACATAAATCCTCACTACATTAACTATATCTCCTGCCCTAAATTAGACATCTCCATATAGACCCATCACAATCCATCCTATTATACTTACTTACCCCATTCACTACTGAGTACCCACTTTGTTCTAAATAAATGTGTTATGAACACCATCCCATTTAATCATATAAGGGTCAAAGGAAAGAAGAAATGTTATTATTTCCATTATACAGATGAGAAAACTGTGGCTTTGGGAGATTACAAGATTGGTCCAAGGTTACACAGCTAGGAAACAACAGAGACAGGATCTGAACTAAAGGGCACCTAAACCCAAAACTTATGTTGTTTCTACTCTTATTTACACACATGGCAGAGACTTATAAACTACAGAGGACTCTTGAGACACAAGTCACTATTAAAAACTCTCAATAATTTGCATTTCTGACCAATGGATTCCTGATAAATAGTATTACCACTGAAATCCCAGAATTGGTACAAAATGTGCTCATTCTAAAGTGCAAAATAGACTGCCAATGTCTATGGAAATGTAGGCAGTACACTGCCTCTGTAAAAGCAATTTGTAGAAAGACTTGCCACATTTCTAAGTACCCTTCAGAGGTCATGGACACTATGTATACAAGGCCTTGGAGGCTATCCTCCCCTGCCCTGTTGGGTCTGTGGTTAGATCCCTGCACAGCACAGCCTCTGTACAACACCCTGTGGATGTGAAGTCACAGAACCATAAAAATTGCAAATTGAACATGATCATCCTCTTTTATTTATTTTTTTTGTTTTATTTTATTTTACTTTTATTTTTTCAAGTTAGGTTTATTTGTGTAGCTTTATAGACCAGTCTGGCCTCAAACTCTCAGAGATCGGCCTGCCTCTGCTTCCTGAGTGCTGGGATTAAAGGAGTGCACCACCACTGCCTGGCATATTTTTTTTTTTATTTTTTTTAAAGATATGGTTTTAGGTTGCTTCAAACACTCTAAGTAGCTGAGGATAACCTTGAACTTCTGATCCTCCTGCCCCTGTTTTCCAAGGACTAGAATTACAGGCATGTACCACTTTGCCCAGTTGTGGGGATCAAACTCTAGGCTTTGTGTATGGTAGGCAAACATTTCACTAACTGTGCTATGTCCCCAGCCTAGGACAATCTTCTTGGTGATTGATACCCAGATATAACCTGTACTATTTTCTTCTAGATTAGCAGAAGTAAATGGAAGACCCCAGAACCATGGCTATCCTCTGGGGTCTATATCCAAGGGTGAGCACAGAATGGGCTTTGCCAATGAGACTTCCACTTGACAAATTAAGTGGACTTGGCTTGCTTAGATGATGGAGGAGTCCTCACTGCCCAAACAGAGGTTCACAAAGTACATACAGAGCCAAGACCAGGAGGCTTTGCACAGCATTGGCGTCACTGGCATGCTCATTACTGGAAGCCTCACAGGGCATCATTTAATTTCTTAAGTATTTCAGGGGGCGGTAAGCACTTCAGAGCCCAATTCATCTTCTTTGTCTTCATTACAGAGAGCCCTCTGATCACCTTAATCCTCCCTCTGCCATAGCAAAGAGCCATTTGTTTCTTTAATGGGTATGCTCTCTCTAGCTAAGTGGCTGCTCAGAGCCAGGGCATAAGGTGAAGCCATCCTGAGGACAGTGGCAGATGTGCCTGGCTCAGGCAGGGGGACAGGGGGAAAAACCCTCCTGAACCCAGATGCAGGGAGAGTGTCCCTTTGCCTCTTCTCCATATTCTCACTCCTATGAGGAGCCCTTGATGAGACTTCATGAGGGGGGCTGCCACCCCTCATGGTCAGGTAAGGAACTCTGCAGAGTCATGGGCTATTCACACTGGAAGCAGCATCCCATTCTACACACAAGGAGGCTGCACTTGGCAGGTTCTCGCTTGGTGCTGTGTACAGTGTGAGCTCCAGTGGGGCATCTACTCACTTTACAGCATCTTTGTGCCAGTCTACACTGAGAGTCTGCATTCACTGGTTCATCTGATCCCTTCATGGACTCTGCAATTATGTTTACACATTTTACAAATGCAGAAAGAATGAATTGCCCAAAGTAGCATGATTATTTACAGTAAAGATCTGCTGAATCCATATCACCTGTCTCCAAAGGCCTTGCTCTTGGGTCCCAGCTGGATCTCTTCTGACATAAGCAGAGTAAGCCTTGGGTAGGCCACTTGAAGGTGAAGCTTCCCTATACCAGGCCATGTGAGAGAGAGGCTCAAGGGGAGCTAAAGAAGGAGACACATAATGAAGAGCAACACAGGGTAGACTCTCCAACCCCGTGCCCATGTCTAACACCTAGAACTACAATAGGTATTGGGCATCAGAAGCCAATCAATCCTGTGAGAACAGCATCTCTTCCTGTTTCCACCTTGAGTATTTGTGGGCTATTCTAAGAGCTAAACTATGGATGTCTGAGCCTTCCTAGGCTCCTCACCTGGTCTCGAGTATAAGGTGTGTCCACTCTCTGCTTGTCACAGCAGGCTTCCAGGAGGACACGGATGGCATTCAGCTGCAGAAGCATCTCACAGGCCATTTTGTCAAAGAAGGTGATGTTGGCCAGGGCTGCAGAGGCCAGCAAAAAGACTTCCCCTGATGAGGCCTCTTGGCACAGTTCTGGATAGTGAAAAGAAAGAAACAGTCGCCTGTTTGCATACGACTGATCTCCCTTGATCCCCACAATAGCTCTGGGAGACTATTTAGGGGAAAGTCTTGATACTATTTTTGGAGAAGAACAAATCAGTCACTATACAGGGAACTCTGCCATCTACATAGGTATCAGAGCTGAAATTGGAACCCTTGTATGTGATTCCTGCTCACCTGCAAGTATTTTATTGAGTGAACCCTAGGTGCCTGGATTCTTGGGACGGTAAGATGGACCAAACAGGTCACAGCCTTGCCCTTGTGATACGTAGTCTCTGCTACCAGGCAATAGAAAGCAAAACTTTAAGAGTTGATATAAAAAAAAATTGTCAATATGAGAGGAAAACAGATAAATGCTAAGGCAGAGAATAAGTGGGGACTCGTCGAGTCACACAAGTACAATGCTTGTAAGAAGGTGTCTATAAAGCAGAAGCCTTAAGAGAGGAAAGGAGACAGTCATGAAGATGTTTGGAACAAAGACATATTCTAAAGGAGAGGAGTGGTGTGTGCAGAGTTCATGGGGCAGAAAGGCATTCCCATTTTTCTAGTGATCACTAGGATGTTAAATTTTCCTGAAGGAAGAAGTTGAAGTTAAAGCAGAGACTGCCTTCCAACTACCTTTCAACATCTCCTCTTGGTCTCAGATGGCAAAGGTTATCTGGCTGCAGAAATACCATACAAGTCCTGAGTTCTCTCTTCAGTCCAATGGTGACAATCCAGCACTAACTGAATGTCCCTACCTGCTATTTGTAATTGTGTTAAGGCCTTTCAGAAGAACAGTGTCTATCCATCCATTACCTAACTTGGTTCCCTTGACTCTCACAGAACCTGCAATAGATGCCCATCTCAAGAGACACACGAGGCTCTGTCCATGGTGCTGCTTGTCCCAATGGCCTTCACATTCCAGTCTCAGCTCTAACTTAGGTCACTAGTCAGGATGTGACAGGTCAAGCCTGTCCCACATGTAACACTTCTACATAGACTGAGAAAGGAATGCCACACTCCAGAAAATGACCCCAGAAGAGGAAGAAAGTTCAGAGACAAATATGAGCTAGGCCCCGTGCTGGTCAGTACTGCAGCACGAATGTAGCTATATATCCCCCTAAACTGGGATGAACAGGAATATCAGCCAAGCACCTGAAGTCTTCCTTGTGCTGTGCCGCTGTGTTTGGACCCATCCTCAAGGGAGAAAAGGATATGTACAGATTTGAAATCTGAGACTCATGGGAAACGCCACAAATACAATTTTTTTGAGTATGTACTCTGGGCCAAGAGCTGCTCTAAGTTTCCACATCATTCAGTCATTTGATCTTTGGAGTAATCCAATTTTGTTATGACTTTATAAATTAAATGCCTGATGTTGTGATTTGCTGAGCTCTTATAGTCAGTGAGGAACAAATGTAGGCCTGCCCAATTCCAAAATCCCAGTTCTTATACTTCAGGTTGTTTCTTCTTTCAGTCTCTCAACTCATTCTCTGTGATGACCCCATAGATGCAGGTTTTAGTTCTATTGGGAAGGTAATACCTACTGCCTCTGAGGAATTCTGGTTCCTGGAGAGCAGCCCAGGTGTGACCACCAAGCATCTAGATCTCATCACCCAGGGCTGGGATTACAGATTAGCTGTGTAATTAAAAGCTCCTCACAGCCGATGCTCCCCTCATCCCCTGACTGGGGAAAATCATTGGGTGCATCTGACTTCTTCCATGCTCACCTCTCTATATCTAGGCTTTGGTATGGGACCACTCTACTGCCAGATTTTCCCCTAGGTATAAATGCTCCCCTTAGTTCTCATGCATTTGCCATTGATGCTGACACATCGATTATTAGCACAGCCATCTAAGTGCCTTTAAATTTGCTGCACATTTATTTGAACTATAGTCTGAGTCACCTGGGATGTGTTAGGAAGATTAAACTGAGGATTCTAGTGAGTCATTTTTAAATGTTTCCAGGGAATGGCAAGAAATTGGAGGGCTATTTCCCACCAAAGAACAGAGCTCTGGCATCCTGCCCAGAATATATATCCCATCTGCTGACTCTGAGTGTGGGCTGGACAGTACATCTTCATGGGGATGGGTTAAATACAAAGGATCTCCTTCTCCAGGAATAAGTGGAGTCTGAACAAAGAAACAGGAATGGGCAGGTAACAAATGTGAAGGGTTGTTTGGGTACACACACTTTAGATTGTTTATTATTTGGGAGAGTTTCTACACAGTTTAGCATTTAGTTCTTATCTTAAAATGTGACAGCCTTCCACACAAGGCAATAATCAACTGCAGTTCATCCAAGCCTGTCCACATTTAGTCTGTGCATGTGCTACTCAACTTAATGCAGGTACCAGAGTCTCTTGTTTTCTTCTCCTATCTAGTTCCCTTCAAGTCATTTCTTTCTTGCCAGGCCATGGTGGGAGACCAAGCATGAGAACCCTGGCATGGTGGATCCAAACACTATTTTTGAGTCTGGACAAAAGTTCCCTCCCTTTCTGGACCTGCACCCTTCCAATGAAATAAGCACTGGGTCTTGTAGTCTCCCAACTCCCTCTAGCAGGGTTCTCTGTGGGCTCCATGTTTGCTTGACTTTGGATCAATGTGGATGTCTGTTGGCACACCCATCTCTCCAAACATGACCCATGGGAAAGCTGACCAGGGCCGACCATAAAGTTCACATAACTGATGTCTCCCATATACAAAGTGCCTTTTGACAGTAAAATCTTAGAACCAGAAGGCCCCTTTAGAGAAGTGAGTTGTGGTCCTTCATATAGTAGGAAAATGTCTAGTGAGAATTACAAAATGTCCTGTTAAGGGGCAGCAGAATCACACGCAATCCCACACTGGCCAGTATCTGTTTGTTGATGGATAAGTAAAGAGCCAGAACCCAAGCTCAGCTGTTCCAATTCCTATCCCATGGTCCTACACTATCTCTATAGTCAGGCAGCTGCAGATGTTCCCAGACCTGGTGTGGCAATTCCAGGAGTGAGTTCTAATTAATTTTCATTTCTTTTTTTTAAATGAAGAGGCAATGATAGAGACCGTGAGTAACAAAAGTATGAATGCAACGTTTCAGTCAGTCATTGAGTGCAATGACAGAAATTTTAGAAACAAAACCTACTGAAGCAAAAGTTTGAGTCTAGACCCTCATGCTCTGGACTCACTCTGAAAGGCCATGTGATCCCAAACTACCTACATTCAAGTTGATGCTAAAGGAGCTGCATGCATTTCAATAGGTGACTCTTGACTACGGGGTTCCCCAAAACTGCCTCTGATTCATTTATGGTGACCTTTCAGCTAGTGTGACTATCTTTGCTGATTCTGAGTTTGGTGAGAAGTAGGTGGGAAGGCCTTCCTGGTCCTTGAAGACAATTGTGCTGAGGCTGTCTCACATAAGGGTTCCACCCAACCCAGGATAACTCACTGATGAGGGCTGTCACAATCTCCTCCATGTTCTCCAGGAAGCTAGTGAGGTGCTGGGTGAAGGACAGATGTGGGGAGGTAACCTGGGCCACCACAGCTGCAGCCTCAGCTCGAGTGGCCTCTGAGTGGCTGTCATCGGTCAAGATGTCCGCCAAGCACAGGATACCATCTACCTGCAGATGGAGAGAGAGAACTTCCTTGTGTACCTTGAAAAGGAGGGTGCCACTGCTTATGACAGGTAAGGCAAAACCAACTCCTGTCATCCTAAAATTTCATTAACCTTCACTTTTGAGAACAGCTCATACCTTGCAGAGCCAGAGAAAACCTGAGGATGAACGCCTTCCCAAATGACCTGAAGTTGGGCATTTAAATGCCTCTGCTTTGAGCCCAGGAAAGATAAGTGACCTCCCATGGACTTTCTAGATAGCAGACAGCAAGCCAAGTGTCTAGGGACTGACCTTGGCCATATATTACTGAAAAATGCAGTAGAAACAATGGTTACTTAGTGATCTTCTGACCCTGTGCTCCAAGCCAGGCTCAATCTTTCATGCTGTGTATGACTTCACATCCTGACAGCTTCCTCACAGAACAGCAGGGTGTCAGGAAGCCAGGAGATGGGAAAACAGGCGATGATACCTTATAGAGACTTTGAATTCAAGAAGTATGAGCTCCCTTTCTCTGCCTTTGCCTTTTGCAGCAGGCAATGCTTTGCTCCCCTTTCTTGTCCTCCACTGTGTGTCCCCTGTAGAAAGAGTGCTGCTTCCATGGAAGCCTTGCTCTTTCTGCCCAATCAGAGAAGTTAAAGTCTCCTGAGGCATACATGCCAGGAACCAGACCCACTCTAGGCACAGTAATAGGAGACACTTTTAGAGTGCTCAGAGTGTGCCTGGGCCAAGTTCCACACTTAGCAGAATGTGTATGTCATAGCCTCACTGCATCAACCATCCCATTGTCACAGAAAGAAAACCTTAAAAGAGATTGTTCACCTGCCTTGGGTCCTTAATTTTCTAACTTGTGGGTTTGGGACTTGAGCTGAATGGTCTGCACTATAACACCTGTGTTATAAAGTGGACATTAAACTTCCCCCTTGAGGTCACACCTGAGCTTAAAACTCACCCTCCATCAGGAATCAGTAGGAGGGCATTAGCGGGAAGAAGCAGGATCTTATCACAGATAGACCATCAGTGTTCCTGCAGCTCCTCTGGGATGTAGGATGCTAAGCTGCTGAGGACCAGTGCTGGAGGTGGGGCAGGGGCAAGGGAGGAATAGAGAGATGTCTTGACTGACATCTACCACATCTGCTACCCACTTGAGCCTCCAGTCTCTGCATCCCTACTTCTTGCTACTAGCTCTAGTGGCCCCAGAGCTCACCTTTCATTTGATTAACTGCCACCACCACTACCACCCCCAGTCCTGCATCTCCCTTAAATGGCTCTTTGGACCTGAAAGGTCCATTAGCTATGAAGGCCATTGACAATTTCAGACTCAAAGGAGACAAATGTGGAAACAAGAGCCCAGGGAATCATCCACAGTAAAACCCACCTGGACGTGCTTAATAAAAGGAACAAACAGCAGTCAGCCAGCCCCTGGCAGGACTGGATTCAAGCCAGGAATTTTATTAACAGGCCCTTGGAGAGGGACCTCGTTTGAGCCCATAGGGCAGCTGCAGGCCTGGAAACAGGAAGGAGCCTCTCAATTGACTGGCCCATGTCCCTTTTCCTCCTTTGAGCATCAATCAAGAGTGTTGCTAAGAAGTATGAGGTCCCTAATGGGAAAATATCTCCATCGATCCAGTGCCCTCAAATGAGACTTGACTGTAGCTGCCACTGCCACCCGGGTCTCTGACTCGGAGCATCAGCCAGACTCAAATAAGTATGCTGCCCTGATGCTCAGCACAATCTGAGTTGGTGGTCCCAGGACCCAGTGAAACCCAAGGCCCAAATATGAGCACCTCTCCCCAGACTAGAAGTAAATGAGTCTGTGGCCTGTGTAAGTGCAAACCAAGTGCCAGGCCTTGTGCTGCAGAAGCCCTGATCCAGGACAGAGTGCCCCTGGTAAAGAAAGTGACTCTCACCAGATAACCATCACACAGAGGGACTTCCCAAAAGATGCTCTACTTCTTCTGGAAGCCACCCAGACTTAACACACCCACAATCCAGCTTGAGAAAATGGGTTCCCTTCCTTAAGTTCTTCTGCTATCTTCATCATATTTTAATGCTAAAGAACATTGCTTTTCCAAGTGGGATTGTGGTTGTGCCTAATTAACTGTGGGTTACTTAAAAGAGAACCCCTGTACCCCTCTCAGTTAGGCCAGGAGTCAGCTCGGTAACAGGTCCACAGTGAATTTGCATGCTGCTCCAGCATTAGCAATACACAATGAAGTGATTATCTGATCCTGTGTCTACCTGGACCCCTGTTCTATAAGCAGGGGACCACAGCTAGTTCACCTTGAGTTGCTTGGTGCCTGGTATGAGTTGGGCTTTTGGGAGATGGGGAACAAATACCAGAAACTAACATTTGGCCTAAAAATTGAGGATACATTATAGATTTATGCAAGAGGAATGATGATGACATTGTAAGCAGGAGGAAGCAGTGAGCAGACTCAATAAGGACAGCATTGGAACAGAAGCCAACTCAACATTAGTTCCACACATCCTTGACCTAAGATGATATGGATCTGATGCCTTTGCTGCTCCTGGGTTTTCCAGAGAACCTGTGGGGTCCTGGATTTCAAACAACCAACTGCCCATTGTCTTCTGATGTGTTGAATATGCTTCAGATGCCTCTGAATTATAGACTACATTGTCCCGTCAACATGGATCACATAAAATAAATTATTATAAACATGTGTAGCATACATATTCATGAAATATATAATTTATGTAAGAGAATATAGAATATATGCTTGTTTGTTTACATTTGAATACATTAAATGTATAAGGGGTAGCATGGATTACAAAGAATTCCAATAATTAAATGGAAAACTATGGGAAGATCTATGTATGCCAAATATTTAGAAATTCTAAATCTTAGAAATGGCATTAAGCTAAGGTTTCCTCTTCATCTCTCTGATCACCTACCAGGCCTCATCCTGAGTTCTGTGTTGTTGATGCCCTTGTTTTCATTAGATCTCTGTCTAATAAACTAAGCTTTGTGGGTTTTATAACTGATATAAGTGGTACTAGAGTCTAAAAAGGGATTTTTCTTTCTCCCCCAGACATCCCTGTGTTTATGAAACTCCTTCCCATCACCATGTGTGTCTGTGGCCCATCTGTTTTCACAGCTGTATGTTATTTCACTGTGCAAGTCTATTGCAATTCATGCATGTGTTCTCCTGATAATGGTCACTTGAGTGTCTTTTGGGGTTTACTGTACTAGACAGTGCTGTTACAAAGATTCTTCTAAATGTCTTCTGGGTAGTGTCAGTTTCCCTGGGAGTCTTGGCATAGGGATTCCTAGGGTGCAGCATTTGCACATCTTTATAATATTGCTAATTTACTGTGCCATATTTTTGTAGCAAGTTGTATTTACCAACACTATAGAAAGATATTTAACTCCATACCCTTCTCTGGTTTTCATATTATGTTTATAATTTTTAGTAATTTGATGGTTTGGATAAGCAATGCCCCTGACAGGCATTTGATCTCCAGTTGGTGGTGCTCTTTGGTGTGGTTACGGAACTTTCAGGAGGTGTGGCCTTGATGGAGGGATTAATCACTGAGGGAAGGCTTTGAGGTTTTATGGTCTCACCTCTCTTCCTCCTTTCTTTGCTTCCAGTGTGTAGATAAAACGTGACTAGCCAGCTTCCTGTTCTGACCACCTGCTGCCATGCCTTGCCCACCTCTATGGACTCCCTGTTTAGAACTGTAAACCAAAATACATTTTTCTTAACTTTTTTTAACTTTCATTAGTCATGGTGTTTTATCAAAGCAACAGAAAAGTAGCTAATAAAGATGAACCATGTGTGTCAGGACTAATGATGTCCAGTCTTTTGCATCGTTTTGGTTTGCTCTGGTGTGGTTTGCTTGGGCTTTTTTGTTTGGTAAGCTAGGGACCTTGTTCATATGTCTTGCTTGTTTTTATCTCTGGAGGCTTTTCATACGGGTCACATTTCCTTGGCCCTTGGTTCTGAGGCTGCTGATTTCACTCATCCTGTCACTTCCAGGCTACCATATAAATTGGTCTCCATACACACCACCATCTCCAGAACTCTGATCCAGCCCAACTCACCACACTCATCACCAAGGGCCACAAGCCACTGGGTTGTGAGCATTTTAGCACTTACAAAAATATCAGAATGTTCAGGCATTGGGGCCAGGCCTATTAGTCTGATCCTGCCTGCCTCTTATTACCTAAACAACTTTCTTACCACTTTCAGATTTTTATCCTAAAATTTAGGGTAATGATTTCAGTAACAGTGACTTTCCTTTTTCTTACAAAGTGGGTATCTGAAATATCAACTAGATATTGAAATTATTCAATGAGAGACTGCATGGGCAGTGCCTGCCACATGGGGGTGCCATCATTCCATCCTATCCCCACCAGTGGCTTGCAGTTACCTTCTGATTCTTTGTGACTCAAAGACTTCCCACAGGGCTTCCCTCCTAGGTCCCTTTCTGCAGTCTCCTCCAAAAGTGAGAACCTCATTCCTCTGGGTAATGTGTCTATCAAATTTCCTTTTAATATGAAAACATAGTTGAGAAAAATCACCTCATAAGGGGGACAGGTTTATTTGGGCTCCTGGTTTCATTAGTTTCATGGCCCTTAGTTGCTTGGCCTCTTCATTTCAGACTCATGTCAGCACAGTACTTCATGTTAGGAGCATGTTACAAAGAAGGCCTATTCACCTTATAGCAACCAGATGGTAAAGAAAGATGAGAAACCAGGGGGTTCCAAAGTCCTCTTAAAGGGCACCACCAATTTCCCTAGGTTCCTTCCATTAATCTTTACCTTCCAATGGTTCTACCTCTTCCCAGTAGTACCACAGGCTTGCAACCAGGCTTCTAGCATGGCCATCAAAGAGGCATTTAGGATACAAACCATAACAGGGGGCAGGGAATCCACAAATTGACCCACTTGTGTGGACATATGATCCCACAATCCAGAACCATGACATTTTAACTGGGTATTATCAATGACTGAGTGGGAACACTAAGATGGGCAAATAGAATCC